TGGAGACCAGAGAGTGGAGACCTGAGGGTGGAGACCTGAGGCTGGAGACCTGAGAGTGAAGACCTCCGAGTGGAATTTACAGAGAAGTTCAAAAACTGAAGAGAGAAACACACACACACACACACATTTTTTTTTTTTTCTTGCTTTTTTTCTTCCTGAGATGTTGCTGCAGTAGTGTCCACTGGAGGAATGCTAACTTTTTGAAAAATGCTAATGAAGCATTTAGCATTTTACTTTGGACTAGAGCAGAGAAAATGGTTCGAATCAAGCGGGTACTCCACTGTGTGTCCTGCTCCACCCAAAGGCTACTCAATATGGGCTGCTGCAACCTGTCCTGCTCCACCCAGAGGCTACGCCATCTGTGCTGCTGTGAGCCGTCTTGCACCACCTAGAGGCTACTCCACCTCTGCTGCTGTGACCTAAAGGGCTGTTGCTGATTATTACTATTATTATGTTTTTAGAATTATCAATTTTATTTTTGCTACTACTGGACACCTGAATTTCTCCTACGGGGGATCAATAAAGTATCTATCTATCTATCTAGAATAGATACATACAGACTCACACAGAGTGAGACACACAGAGGGAGAAAGAGAGAGAGACACACAAACACACACCACGGAACAAAGCCACGTTGCTATTAACAGCGCCCTCTGTGAGGTGACAGTAGTTCACACTGGCTGCTGGTTACATAACAGCAGCATGGTTCTAATGCAGGGGTGAATAGAGAGAGAGAGAGGGGGGGGGGGGGGGGGGGGGGGGTAATGGGGGAGGAGGAGGGGTTGCGAGAGTCATTCAGAGCGTTTAGTCTGTGTCACTGCGTATCACCCGCGGAGCCATAAAGCGCTGAATAAGACATGAGGCCGCGAGGAACAACGGTGAGGTGACCAGACAGCAGAGCGTGTTCGACAACAGGAACAGCACCGGAGAAACACTGCCACAACACACTAACGGATGCAAGAACAAGGCAAGTTTATTTGTATAGCACAATTCACAGACAAGGAAACTCAAAGTGCTGAATAAAACAAGACAGAGACAAACACACAAGGCATTCAAATCATGAAAAATCACAGTACATTAAAAAGAGTGACGATGCAATGCTTTAGTTGTTGAAGTGAAACAGAACTGTTTTCAACTTGGATTTGAACATTGTCAGCGTAGAAGCCTGTCTCATATTTTCAGGAAGACTGTTCCAGATTTTAGCTGCATGAATCTGAAACGCTGCCTCTCCATGTTTGTTGCTTTGGGCACCAGCAGGAGGCCGGCCCCTGTGCTCCTCAGAGTCCCAGTTGGTTCATATGGCACTAACATGTCACACATGTACTTTGGCGCGAGGTCATGGAGAGACTTGTATAAAGCAGAGCTGCTTTAAGTAATGTATTTTTGTGTGACATGCGCAGTGTTGGGTGTAAGGAACACGTTACACTAACGAAACTACTTTTTCCGGGGAAAAGTAAAGTAACGCATAAACTATTGACAGTTTAGTAAAGTAAAGCATTTTTATTTTTCAATCTGCTGCAACTTGCATGCAAGTTCTCATTCTAGAGTACATTGTATGTGAAGCAAAAGTCCCCCCCCTAGTGCTGGCGAGTGTCACACTTTTAACTCTGAGCCTGATCTCATATACTCAAGTACCTCAGCGTCTGACGCGTAGACGCTAAGTCTTCCTCCTCATCAAAAGAAAAGCAGTCGGCCTCACTGCATTGCTGTTGATCTTCATAGAAATTTAAAAACAGTTCTGCTCAAAGTTGAACATAATAACAGTAAGTAACAAGTAACATAATTAGTAGTAACGAGTAATGTAACTTAGTTTTCTCTAAAGAAAATGAGTAAAGTAACAGGTTACTTTTTGAACGAGAAAATTTACTTTTTAAAAGTAACCTCCCCAACACTGGACAAACGTTGGATCATTCGGTTGATTAGAAACACTTTAGGAGAATTAGAAAATTTGAAACAAGGGTTTTCCAATCACCCTATCCCTGAAGAAACACTGAATTCAATAAAAGTTGTACTGTTCCATTTGTTGAGTGTCCTGTCCTGACCACAGTTCTTCTAGTTAGACCTCTAACAGTTTAACAGAACCTCCTGTATCGGACGGGCTCTAGATCTAGGACAAACTACGAAAGGCACGAGGCGCAGGACTCAGGCTGCAGAACGAGGACAGGTGCATTGATTACAATGTTAACTCAAACCCGATCATAAAATGTTCAAAAATAAGCGTGGGTCATATTTTAGCTGACGAACGTGGCACATATTTGACATCAGCCCTGCAGCCTCCTACGCACGCCTTTTCGCTTCAAACGTGTAGGGGACGTACGGTACAGCAGGAGTAACAAAACAACAGCAGTCGCACATACTGCTGATTACTGATTATGTCCATCAGCATCACTACTATCTCCAGGTTGAAGCTATAGTCATTTCCACTGCAGTGATCGTCATATACACTGTAAAAAACATCTAACTGACTGAAAAAGTAAACAAAAGAATGTTATTCCGGACGGAGGCCTGCGAGGAACATTTCTCTGTGTTTTTTTGGTTGATAAGGTTGGGAACAAGGTGCAAAAACGCCTGAAGCAAAACAACAACAGCATCTGGACGCTGTAATACGAGCTTCACTGACCTCTGCTCAAGGAGAGAGTTTATTCATTCACAAGTCAATAAATAATTATAGCAGCTAAACTTTTAATGAGACCTTATGTCAACTCAAGAGATAGTGATTCAAAGACACAGAGGAAGACACCAGCTCTGTGTCATACTGTGATATAAATCAGGATATGGCAGGAAATACAACTGAAATATACAGATGGACAATGCTAACCTGCTAGCTTCGCCATAGGGAAGTGCTCATGGACAAGCTTTTGCACTAACTCTGGCTCCTATTGACTTGCATGTAATGGTAAACTCCTCTCGCTCAGTAAAAAAAATATGCCATCTCCCAATTCATAAGATATATGTTTAGGGTGGCAGACAAAATGTGGTCTTTACATCAGAAAGAGACCAGAAAGAGAGACCAGAGAGAGAAATGGTCACTCTCTGGTCACTCTGGTCTCTCTCTGGTCTCTCTCTGGTTTCTCTCTGACCAGAGAGTGACCAGAGAGTGACCAGAGAGAGAGAGAAGCTTATGCGAATGGAACAAATACCCATATAAGGAAATTGGCTCCAGCTAGTTCATGTTTAAACCGGCTTCTTCCACACTCGTTAACACTATGGAGACTCCACAGACACGGTGGCTGAGTGGATAGCACTCTCGCCTCTCAGCAAGAAGGTCCTGGGTTCGAATCCCGGCCGGACCAGGGCCTTTCTGAGTGGAGTTTGCATGTTCTCCCCGTGTCTGCGTAGGTTTCCTCCGGGTACTCCGGTTTCCCCTACCACTAAAAATATGTCCAATAGTTCTGGCATGCGCTTTCTGTACTGGCGACCCTGCTCCCATCTCTGTGTGGAGTGAGAGACAAATGCCCAAAAATTAACAATTGTAAACCGCTTTGAGACTCAGATCTGCAGTGAAAAGGCGGTATATAAATAATAACTTACTTACTTACTTACTTACTGGGAGAACATGCAAACTCCACTCAGAAAGCCCTTTTTCGACTGGGATTTGAACCCTGGACCTTCTTGCTGAGAAGGAAGTATCTTACAGTTATGTGCAAATAAACAGACTATGAAGTACACTATGATTCACCTCCAACCTCTCACTCAGCCTGATCAGTGTATACGCCATGTATGGATTAAAATTAAAATAAATACTCTCATTACACAGAAGAACCCTTATGTCAGAACACTCCGACATCACTCCACGTGTCCAAATGTCAGCACGAATGTCAACAGCGTCTGAAGGATCATCCTGAGAGGTGCCCAACTGATCACACTGGTTAATGAAAGACTAGAGAGAGAGAAAGACCAGCGAGAGGCCGGAGAGATTAGAGAGACAGACTAGACAGAGAGACCAGAGAGAGAGAAATCCTAGTGCTCTGCTCTATTCTCCCTCTAGTTTATCTCTGGTCTCTCTTTTTAGTCTCTGGTCTGTGAGAATGTGCATAAAGAACCCAGTTTGGTATACTGTATCTCTGGTCTCTCTCTGGCCTCTCTCTCAGGTCTCTTTCTCTGGTCTCTCTTTGGTTACTCTCCAGAGGGAGACCAGAGAGAGGGAAATACTAGTGAGAGACCACAGAGAGATTAGAGAGACAGAAGAGACCAGAGAGAGACCAGGGAGAGACCAGAGAGAGACCAGAAGAGAGACCAGAGGGAGACCAGAGGGAGACCAGAGAGAGACCAGAGAGAGATAAATACTAGTGAGAGACCAGCGAGAGACCACAGAGAGATTAGAGAGACAGAAGAGACCAGAGAGAGAACAGAGAGAGAGACCAGAGAGAGTCCAGAGAGAGCAGAGAGAGAGAAACACTAGTGTCAGAGCAGCGAGAGACCGGCGAGAGACCAACGAAAGACCAGCCAGAGGCCGGAGAGAGACCAGAGAGATTAGAGAGACAGATGAGACAGAGTGACCAGAGAGAGGCCAAAGAGAGAGAGAGACCGGAATGGGAGACCAGAGAGAGACCAGAGAACAAACAGAGAGGGGTTTCATTGTGTTGTTACTTGATTTCTTTTCTAAACAATGCCATAATTTCACCGTTGTTTCTTCTCATTATTCAGAGTTTTGCTCCACCACCTGTTAGTTCATTCTCTCCTCGGCTAATGTGGTGTTTTTCAGGATTTCACTGCAAGCTAGGAAATCCCACGTCCCTGAGCTGAATAATTTATAGATTTGTTGATCCAATTACCATTTAGATTCTGAGCTAGGTTCCCCGACAGCGAGCCAAGCCAAAATCCTATCCATTACATGCGTCTCATTTTTGTCAGCGTGGCGAATCCTGGGAGGGGTTAGAAACAGGGCTGGATGAGCTTCCGAAGCGGAGGGAAGTGAATTGTAAATGGATGTTTTGAAGAGTTGGCAATCAAGTCTTGTGTTAAGAGATCCAACAATAGCTCTGGTGTGTTTTTTGTGATCAAAACATTTTGGCAGGTTTTGAATCGATGGGGATCTGGGGCTTCGTGATCGTGAGAGCTGTGGCGTAGGCAGCAGACTGAGGCAATATTGTGCCAGTTAACAAACTCCCAGTATAGTAGTAATTTACTGTATGGTCTCTCTCTCTTGTCTCTCTCTCTTGCCTCTCTCGTCTCTATTTCTTGTCTCTCTCCTGTCTCTCTCTTGTCTCTTTCAGGTTTCTCTCTCTTGCCTCTCTCTTGGGTTTCGCTCTCGTCTCTATCTCTTGTCTCTATCTCAGGTCTCTTGTCCCTCTCTCTCTCTTCATCTCTGGGAGAGCAGATAGACCAGAGATAGAGAGCTCTCTCTCTATCTCTGGTCTATCTGCTCTCCCTCTTTGGTCTCTCTGTTCTCTCTTTCTGGTGTCTCTCTCTGGTGTCTCTCTCTGGTGTCCCTCTCTGGTGTCCCTCTCTGGTGTCTCTCGCTGGTGTCTCTCTCTCTTGGTGTCTCTCTCTTGGTGTCTCTCTCTTGGTGTCCCTCTCTGGTGTCCCTCTCTGGTGTCTGTCTCTGGTTTATCTCTTGTGTCCATTTCTGGTCTCTCTCTAGTCTAAACAAGGTTTCTCTCTGGTTCACACCTGGTCACAACATGGGAAACAGCATTCGAATTTCTCCACAGACAATGCGGTACATCTCTCTCAACACACCAACAGGACACCATCTCGACAGCCCGTCTCCAGCTTGTGTGTGTCTGTACCTCTATGTATGCGGCGAGCTGGGGGTAGACCCTGTAGGGGCCGACCACGTGGGACAGGGGCGAGGTGCAGGGGAAGCGGGCGGTGACTGCGTGGCTCACTTCCGGCAGAGAGAAGACTTTAAAGCCGAACTTCTGGTAGAGTTTGGTGGTCTCGTCGTCGGGTTTATCTTCTCCTTCGCTCAGCACACTGCCCACGATGTAGCGGCACTGGTCTGAAGGCTTCTGCAGCACAAACACAAGAGATTTCAACAAATGTCACTAGTTAAATTCTTTTTTTTTTTTTTTTTCATTTATACAATCAAAGTTGTGTAGAGGGATTAATGCATATTTGAGGCATTTCCCTTTGGCTTGTGTCACCGCTGTTAGTACTGTCTTTATTCATCAATGAGATTTTTCTTTTCTTTTGTTTAATTCTGTGATACGCAAAGGATTCTCGAGAGTTGCTGGTCTCTCTTGTCTCTCTCTCTGGTTATCCCTTTGGTCTCTCTCTCTCTCTCTGGTATCCCTCTCACTGGTATCCCTCTCTCTGGTCTCTCTCTTTCTATGTAAGTTATTCTGTCCTCACTATGGTGTCACACTACCAGGGCTAGACAGACAGCGAACAACAAAAGAGAGTCCGGTAGACCATGTAGAGACGTTAACTTTTACTTTTTGCTCCACATTTGTCTCTTTAAAGTTGTAAAACTGTAACACAATACATAGAAACAAGTATCAATAAATTGTACCAAACAATGAGCTTCCAAAAGAAATGAATGAATATTACAGCTTATTACACAGTCAGTAAATGAAACACTACATCTTACATTTGTACTCATGTAACTCGTGTAACACAGAAAAAATACATTTTTGTACTTCTGAACTTTAGATTGGAGCGTATAGCCTAGCTTAAAACAAAATGGGGCAAACATACAAAATTAGCAGTTAGAAAAGTAGTAGCAACAAAAAGAACTTCTCATTTTCTCAAATTCTTATTTGTACACATTTTTATCAACAAAAGAACATCAAAAACCACACATCATACATAACTTTACGGACAAAGATGCCCCAAGGCTGAAAAACGGGTGTCTGAGTGAGCTGAAATGCACGTGAGCTGACCTTTGAATGATGAGTGTGCAGAAAAAAAACGAAAGTTATACCCAAGTTGTCCACTAGAGGGCAGTATTCAAACTCGCCAATACATTTTTTTTATAAAATGTACATAACAAAAAAAGGGTGTAACAGTACATAAGTCTTTTCTTTATATAGCAAATGTTATCAGACCAAGGTCACCCAAAGCGCTTTACAATGTTCCGAGTTCAGATATTGTTCCATTCATTCTACACACATTGATGACGGAAGCGAGATGTGAAACACACTGGCGCATCAAAGCCACCAACCGCCACCCCTCATTCACTCACTCATTACATTCATACCTTTTGTACATGCAAACTTCACCCCGAAAAGCCCTGTTCCAAACGGGATACAAACAAAGAGTTCAAAAAAATGCTTATTACTACAAGTTGTATTATTATAATCTGTAATTTAATTGAAAACTTGAGCTCATTGATTCAGCTTGTGTATGAATTAAGGCCGTAAAAAATGCTGAGTAGAGACTAAGCGTGATGCTCTTTCTCCTCCAATCACAGAACAGGCTGCGTCCTCTAGCCTACAGCGCTGCTAAACACAGTAGCATGTTAGCAGAATTGGATATAACTCCTCTGTCTGTAACTACGGACACAGCAAAACAGTCCAAAACGAAAAACAGTGAGGAAGAGACGAGGGAAGAACTAAAGTGAAAACATTAAGAAGAAATCAAGCCCGGGTGAACATAGCTAGCTTACATCGTATCATTTGGAGAGACTTACAGTCTATGGGAGAGACCTGCGGGACCGCCTCGGACTATCTACGCTCGGACTATCTATGCTCGGACTACATTCGGACGCGGAACTAGCGGTAATCTTTCAGTTATATATTTTGTTCGCAGTGCGTTGATTTTGTACCATTTCATCAGTGATTGTTGTACAGCTTACAAGAAGTTGCACTCATGCTAATGTTTGCATATAGATCGCAAATAAAACTAGATGGCTCCGTGGAATGAGAGCTTAGGGGAAATGAGAAGCCTGTGAGCGAGAGCGTAAGTAAGAAAGTGATCTTTATTTATATACCGCCTTTCACAGACCAGAGTCACAAAGCGGTTTACAATTGTTATTTTTGGGCATTTGTCTCTCACTCCACACAGAGATGGGAGCGGGTTCGCCAGTACAGGAAGCGCATGCCAGACCTATTGTACATATTTTTAGTGGTAAGGGAAACCGGAGTACCCGGAGAAAACCTACGCAGACACGGGGAGAACATGCAAACTCCACTCAGAAAGGCCCTGGTCCGACCGGGATTCAAACCCAGGACCTTCTTGCTGGGAGGCGAGAGTGCTATCCACTCAGCCACCGTGCCGAGATGGGGTCGGTGCTATACATTCAAACATCGCAGAAACAGGTATAGCTCCTTTAAGAGAGTGAATGTTGTTGTTATCAACTCAGCCACCGTTTCCTCTCGCTCTTTGGTCTCTCTCACTTTCTCCCGCCATTTGATTATCGATATGCATTTGCCAAGTATCAATATCAATTTTGAAAAAAAATAAAAAGTTTGTTTTTTTTTACATTTTTTTTTTTTAAATTGGTATCAATACTTAATATATGGCTACATTACGCATCTCCATTCCATTTATCATGAAATTAAGTGTATTTTTTCTTTTATTTATGCCATAAATTGGCATATTGTATATTTCTGACCAATATATCGATAATCGTCATATCGTGATAAAATCGTTATCGTGATATCGTTATCGTGATATCATTATCGTGATATTGTTATCTTGATAATATTGTTATTGTGAGCTTTGTATCGTGTATCGTAAGGTATCGTGAGGTACCCTTAGGTTCCCACCCCTACTTTTGACAGCTGCAGCAGCGCTCAGACCTACAACCAGCAGGTTTGATATCTCTGGTTCCTCTCTCACTTGAGCAGTCGTGAGTTCAGGTGGTAGCCAACTATATAACGTGTGTGTGAGGGGTTTTACAGCCTTTAAACATACAGCTGCTACTTGGGTGTGATGTAGCGTCTGTTTTGATGCAAACTGCAGCAGACACGGCTTGTCATGTGATCCGATGTAAGTGAGAGTGGGCGCTAGGTCACATACTGTCCTGGACCAGAAAACTGTAAAATATGTAATGATGCTATGACCGTGTTCAATTTTTCAGTCTTTGCCCTACTTCAGCAGAGACTATGGTAGCACGCAATCTTCCAGAATATGTGGATGACAAATCTATCTATTAATCTATCTACTGATTTATTCTTAATTCAATATAGGAACTCACAGCTGTTGTGATTTTGGCTGTAATAAACTGCATTAATGGGAGGTCTAAAGGCTTCTTCTTTGGCTCAGTCCTGGATCCACAGCCTCAGTCCTGGATCCACAGCCCCTGTCCTGGATCCACAGCCTCTGCCCTGGATCTACAGCCTCAGTCCTGGATCCACAGCCCCTGTCCTGGATCCACAGCCTCAGTCCTGGATCCACAGCCTCTGCCCTGGATCTACAGCCTCAGTCCTGGATCTACAGCCTCAGTCCTGGATCCACAGCCCCTGTCCTGGATCCACAGCCTCAGTCCTGGATCCACAGCCTCTGCCCTGGATCCACAGCCTTAGTCCTGGATCCACAGCCTCAGTCCTGGATCCACAGCCTCAATCCTGGTTCTATAGCCTCAGTCGTGGATCCACAGCCTCAATCCTGGTTCTATAGCCTCAGTCCTGGATCCACAGCCTCAATCCTGGTTCTATAGCCTCAGTCCTGGTTTTTACAGCCTCAGTCCTGGATCTATTGTCTGATCTGCTGCTGGTGAATCCAAAACTTTGTAAAATCCTCTGAGACGACTGACCGCTGTTGTGACTTAGGGCTATACAAAAATACTTTGAATAGAATTAAATTACATATCTCAATAAATATCGTAGCGTGAGATCTGGAAATGGTTACCTCCCAAGCATTGAGTGGCTGTGTTAACATTTAGCCCTCATTTTTTATATTTGAATGACATTTTCCTTTCTCCGTTGTTCTCAAAGTAAATAGCATTATACAAGCTGGTGTCCTGTCACATCCATCGGGCGACAACATGGGAATGCTTTTACCGGATCTGTTCACATAAAGCTTTTGATTTCTGAATTACAAACCTGCAGCAGCGTGGAGAAAGGTCACAGAGAAAACTTATAGAAAGAGGACAGAGGAGACTGATGAGCGCTGGCAGCAAAGTTCAATGCAGTCATTATATAATCGTACGGCTTTTTTGCTGCGTTTGCAGCAAAAAACAACATAACATGTATCTACAGTATAGAAACCCAATTGAGAACTGTTCTTAAAGTTATAATGTATGGAAGAATAGATTAGACTGTGTTGGTTGAAGATAAAATCTGTATATTAGAAGTGGGAAGACCGAGTGTGACATAACCATAGTGTTAGCCTAAATGCATAACAAAATTGGTTTGAACATAAGCTAGCCCACATATAAAGTGTCCAAATGCTTATCTTTTTCTAAACTCAAAAAAAACTTTTGTGGCTCTCTCTGGCCTCTCTCTGTCCTCTCTCTGTCCTCTCTCTGTCCTCTCTCTGTCCTCTCTCTGTCCTCTCTCTGTCCTCTCTCTGTCCTCTCTCTGTCCTCTCTCTGTCCTCTCTCTGTCCTCTCTCTGTCCTCTCTCTGTCCTCTCTGTCCTCTCTCTGTCCTCTCTCTGTCCTCTCTCTGGCCTCTCTCTGGCCTCTCTCTGGCCTCTCTCTGGCCTCTCTCTGGCCTCTCTCTGGCCTCTCTCTGTCCTCTCTCTGTCCTCTCTCTGTCCTCTCTCTGTCCTCTCTCTGTCCTCTCTCTGTCCTCTCTCTGTCCTCTCTCTGTCCTCTCTCTGTCCTCTCTCTGTCCTCTCTCTGTCCTCTCTCTGTCCTCTCTCTGGCCTTTCTCTTTCTGGCTTCTCTCTCTCTGCTTTCTCTCCCGGGTTACTGTTGGGTTCCTTTCAGAACATAAACCCACAATAAACCAAGGACCTCAGTATTGTCTTTTGCATTTGCCAAGGGTAGAATCCAAGGCAGCATATCGTAGACTCCACTCTGTCGTCGAGAGCCAAGATTACACAACCCACTTCTACTGTCCATGTTTATCTGCCGTTAACCCCGCTCCAGGAGACAGAGGAGACAGACCAGTGCTGACAGG